TAGTCCTCAGGAATGATATAATGAATACACATGAGGCACATAACTAATGTCTATATACTGTAAAGCAACTAATATCAACTTTTACAGTAGTCAGATTTTCTTTAAACTAATTTGTTTTAGAAATATGCAGAACTAAATAACTCGATCTCCACCAAAAAAAGAATCTTCTTTAGCATTTTCGTATTAACAATCCAAGACAGTATAAGAATTGGAAAAAATGTGCACGACATTAGAATTACAATGACTACAGAATAACGAAAAAATGCCTTCCTATTTACTGTAATAATAAAGGAAACCGAGTAGAGCGGAAAGTAAAAATTTACGACAAAATTTCAATTGACAATATTGCTATTGCTCTTGGGTGTGAAGAGACGCAAGATCTCTGAATAGAGATAGAACGAACACTGGAAAATATCTACATCGTAATTTGATTTCATGGACTCACTCCTCTTAAGCGGAATTCAATATTCGCATATGTAATAATAAAATAAATAAATAATCCTAGACAATTAACACAGCGCCATCTAGTCCCATGGCAAGCAGAGCTTATGTTACGGGTAGTAGACAACTGATATAAATACTTAGGTTTTTTAACTACATAATTTTTTTGTAACTACATACATATTATACATTGAAAAGACCCAGATCGATACAAACAACCATACTCATGAATACAACTGTTTGCACCGTACGAAAAATCGAACCCGTAACAATCGTAAGTAATGTGATGTGCTAAATAAATAGAGCACCGAGACCAACAAACCTATTAATATATACCTATTAACATCTTAATCATCGTAATATAATATGCCTTCTCGTTTTAACACTACTAAGTATATTAGGAGCGACCTACTTCTACTTATTATGTTATGTGATTTTCATAGAGTTGTTATGTTCAAACGACGTCTCGTTTATTACTTTCTCGTCAGGTCAGCCGTCAGCTAAATTTCCATTCCCGAGCATTGGTAGTATAATAGTTTAACAAAGAAGTTTATTAAACAATTAATAGCTATATTAAGCAATTAAAATTATATGGATCTATTGTTCAAAACAACCGGCATACTAAGTTATCTTAACTAACGTTATAAATGCAATGTTTGTTAATTTGTGTTGTGTAATTGTAACTGCAATGTTTAACAAGTTGACAGCGCACCTGACGGTAAGTGGTAATCGTCCCTTATACATAAACAGCACCAGAGCATCACGATATAAAGTTACACCCGTATTGCCACTCATTTTTATAATAATAATAATAATATCTCAGGACAATTTACATAGCACCATCTACTCCCAAGTTAACCTAGCTATGTGTTATGGGTACTAAATAGACAACTGATAGTAAAACGTAGTTTTTTGTAAGCACATACATATGATACATAGAAACATCCAGAATGATACAAATAGAAACAAATGTTTATACCAAGTGAGGAATCGAAGTTATATAGAGGTTATTTTGATTATAAAAAATGATGATAATTTCCTGCCTTCAACCAAAACACATCTTACGAAGCGATAGTATTCTGAAATTTATATAGAGGTACCCATACAAAATTTGTCATCATTTTTGTCATTATTTTTATTCACATTGTAACCAGGACGCACGCCGTTACTTAAAGAAATTTTGTAAACTGTACTATATTTTTTGTGTTTCTGATGAACAAAATTAGGGAATGAACGAGTCCATGTAGACCCCTTGCCTGGAGCTTTCCAAGCTTTTGTGTATTATATTAAAATAACTAAACTTCCTATTAATATTTATAATAATGTTTGCTTCTAGCTAAAAAAATTCAATAAATATTTAGTTCATCGAATAAAGATAGATAACTATAGAATATACGTGTAATCTAGAAAAAATTGAAACACAAAATGTTCAAAACATGAAAATAGGAATATAATGTAAATAAAAAAATATTAAGAAGGGCACAAAGGGGGACTTATCTCAAAAGAAATATCTTCCAGCCAACGAATAGTTACAATAGAAGTTTTTTAGGAGTAGGTCTAAATATAAAATGTTTTTTTCGAAACAAACATTTATGTTTCTTTACTAACTTTTTTGCACAAAGAAAGTATATCTACCCTTTGAATAACTATTACAGTTACTGACACAATTCATATAGACGAAATGATCTCAATGTATAATATTACAAATAAGTGGAATCACTTAGTTATTAACTTCTTTTTAAGAAATGAAAAGACTGACGTTCTACATATATACATAAATACCACTATAGACTTCGCGTTATCATATGACATCCTCGATACCACTCATGCGTTGTCGTACTAGAAGACTAAGATGTCATACTTCTTATCCTGTAATTTCACTGCCATATCTCATCCTACAACCGAAATATAGCTCTCAAAGCAAGCTGTTTGGCGGCTGAAATAGGTGAGACATAACCATTGTCTACAGTCACAGACTTTAACAAAGTTTATTAACTTTTTAAGAAATGGAAAGATTGACGTTTTATATATAATAATGAGATCTACCTACTAGGTAGATCTCATTTTGTTATGACATCCTCGATACCAATAATTTTCAACAAGATTTTCAGCCCATCTTCGTTATATAGATTTCAATCATTATACTATACTACAATAGATAGATATGTATGGTAGATATAATGATATTATAAACGGAATTTCCTTCAACTGAAGTACGCAAACAGCTTACAAATCAAGTGGTTTGGTGGCTGATATAGATGAGATAGAGTTATCCATGCAGACGAATGTTCTCAAAGTCTACCTCGTTACAAATAATATAAAAATGTTCTGCCTAGTTCTTTAAATGGATCAATACGTAATACTTAATAGTCATTAAAAATATATGGTCTAATTGAGAATAGATTAATATTGTTTATGTTGTATAATAGTTTTACTGAATGTAAGATATTTATGATCGAATTTCAACCTCTGGACGACCGCTAGTAATTATATTTATGTCAAAAATATCAAGTAGCTATGCAATAATACAGCACAAATAGCAACACTTTCTGACAGTCATTTAATATAATAATGGAGTATGTTGTTTGCCTCCTTATATGTAACAAGATCATTGGAATATTAATTTCTGTACAACGTAAATTTTACGGAATTTAACATTTTCTGCTGGTTACACAATACCCGCGGGCAATATAAGGTAACTCAAACATCGGGAGCAAATTTAAAAAAAAATTTGGAACTGTTTTGCAAGATCATATTAAATATAAAATAATTTTAATTTTGTTCATATTTTGGCCGTTATTTATTTGGTTTACACAATATTCTCTTAGTTATTTACTTACAGTAACATTTTGAAGTTCTAGCTACTTTGTATTAGGTACTGAAATATAGAAAATGTAACCACATTTTCTTCGCAATCTCTCAGAATAAAAAATCTTATTTCTTACTAATATTATAAACGCGAAAGTCTGTGAGTGGATGGATGAAAGTTTGTTACTCTTTCACGTTTTTTATTAATGCTTCCTTGTATGTTGTCTCATAAAATATTAAAACTTCATTACATAATTTTTAAATAGAGTAGTACTCTGTGTTTTCAAGAGTTCTCTTATGATTTCTCTTTATATTTGTTCCACCGCTTATTGTATCGGAATTATAATAAAAATATATAATTCGATACAATTTAATTTACAATTTGGTGTTGTAATTTATAGATTGGTTTCAACGATCATACCCACGCATCTCGTTGAAATACACACACTTTCCGATTCCATCCCATTCAGGTATCGTATTGGTATCCGGAATCGAAATTTTATTACGATTCGATATAATCCTATGCGATATTAATATCGGATTATGGGTGCAAAGGGATTTGTAATGTCTACAAAAGACTCTACTGCTAGCAATGAAGCATGTTAGGTTGATCGCCACGCAGTTCCAACTGGAAACTATCATCATGGTCATAAAATCCACGATGGACAAACTGACAAAACCTTGTACACATCTTAACATATATGCTTTACCAAACAGTTAGCGCAGAAGGCGGTAGCATTCCATTATCATCATCATTACATAGTATAGTATAAAATAAAGCCACTGTCGCTGTCTGTCCCTATGTATGCTTAAATCTTTAAAACGGATTTTGAAGCGGTTTTTTTAATAGCGAGAGTTATTCAAGGGGAAAGTTTATATGTGTGAAGCCGGGGCGGGTAGCCAGTTATACATAAAAATATCTCAGATAAATCGTAGATATATCAGCAGTCGTAATATGAAAATTACTACTGACTTTTATTTCGATTAAATAACAGAAGTTACGCTCTTTGAACTATAATGCTTGTCTGTTAGCGATTAATAAGTTGTTATTGGTATAAATTGGCTGATTGTTGGCTTTTGTTATTGTCTACAAAGCTGGAATTCAAATATTACTTGTAAATTACTTAAGTATTACAAATAGTTTTACAACTAGCCATTGTTGTTTTAATCATTAATTTTTAAAAACCTTTATTACTATATTTTCTGATTCTTTTTCTTAAATACTCTTAATTCATAAATACTCTTAATTCGGTCAATTGCAACACGTTACTAACAACTACGTGATTAACAAATGTTCGTCTATGTCTCATACAGTATCTCCATTAATTTCAAACTTTGAATAATTTCTTTTAAAAATATATTTCATCATAATTCATCATATTCATCCATCTCTTTTAAATAACCGAAAGAACGGGATTAATAACATTTTAAATCAATACCTAACTGATTTTTTTTGTTTCTTAATATTATTTATGCGTTGCAAACCACATTCAAAAGTTCGAACTTTGGTATCTTATTACTCTCTAAAATATAATATTTAGCAATCCACAATGGATCATAAAAAAATACCTCATCTATCAACCCACGCTCTATTCTATTTGCTTCTCATCTTGTCTTTTAATTAATTGAATTTATTAACTGTTATTTCTACAACAATTAAATTTACTTCCATAGGCAATAGATGGAAATTAAAAATGTCACAAAAAAACGTTTACTAATATTTTCGTTTCTCTTTTGTTCCAGGCAAAATCCAACGAAGTCGTCATCCCTCAAGTCGATATGTATTCAATACGTACTAATTTACAAGTAAAGAATTAATTGTTTAATGTTATCAGTGTTAAATGACCACAGACTATAAAAATGAATATAGATGAAAAACTGTCAGGGACGGGTGGGGCGTCGCAGAGAAATTGGACTCATTTGAACACCAGCAATGATGAGTTGCCTTTGGACATGCGGTTTAATCATGGTCACATGGTGTCTATAACAGTGTATAGTGTGTTAATGGTGGTCTCCGCCACAGGGAACTTAACAGTGCTCTCACAATTAGTGAAGAGGCGGAGAATAGGTCGCGCGAGCAGACTTGACGTACTGTTAATGCATTTAGCTGTGGCCGATCTTATGGTAAGATATAATTTATTGCGAAATAATTAATTATATATAATAATAAAAATAAAAATATATAATTATATAAATAATTAAAATTAATAAATGTAGGCAATGAGTTTACTAAATATATTGAAAAGTTTACTTAAGAGCTAAAATAAACTCTGTTTCTACGAACATAAGATTCGTAGTCTTATGTTTGCAAAAACAGAGTCTGATACAAGTTCTTATTACATTCCCTCAGGATTTTCATTTACTTTATCGATTAATAACGTCATTCGTCACAAATGAACTAATAAAAATATAATTTTCTATAGACAAACTGAAAATTCAAACTGAAGTAATATTAATTAATCCATGTCCAATTAATCACTCAAACACATCTTGCAAATCAAGATGTTTAGAGGTTCAAACAGACAGGGGCAGCCGCGAATACGACTTCGTGCAGTCGGATTTGGTAAAACTACTGCCGTCATTGCATCATAAGTATTGTATTGTCTGTGCTCCCGTGTTAATCTCAAGATAATTTACTTTTTTTTTTGTGTATTTTATAAGGATTAAAAAATATTATGCTCAAATGGGGTAACATGTAGAAAATGTTGTAAATGTAGATAAAGAGAACGAGAAAGCTGCGCGCGCTTCCACCTCGCCGTTTTACTGGAGTTTTTCAATCGTGTTGCTTTAGTTCATGGGCGTAGTCACCCATGGGCAAACTATACAAAAAATTGTAAAATGTAATCACTCACGATTGCGCTAGCTTTCCCGCGCAAATCGCGCGCTTCCCCGTCCAACTCAAATGGGGATTGAAATTACGACGGCCTGATCCGAAATTCGAACTCCTAGTACCTCAGACTAAAGTCGTATCCGTCAGGCGGGAATTGGCCTTCAGCCACTCCATAAGCCCTTCCACATGTTTGGAGCGTCATCTGCACTCGCACTGCACACCCTTATTATCCGGTGAAACTGTAAAGGTCAGCTGCGGCCAACAGCACTAGAGTAGTCCGAAAAATAAACCTGATCGCGCGTGAAAGAACGTGTCGAGTAAATTGTAATCGTATAAAATGTGACAACCCTAAGCTGTCAGTCGCTTTAAATATTTCATCAACTAATATTATTATTCTGTGCTAGAACAGCTACAAAGTATTAGCGCTGTAGATTATTGAAATATTTCATATAAATAAATATCGGGCTGTATTTTGTTAACATAATATAAGAGTACCTATTTCCGTACAATAGAGTTCATAATGATGGATTCCAATTTTCGGTCGAGTTATTTTGGGACACGAAGAATTCAAATTTGCTTAGGAAGTGAATACTCAGAACCAGAAATAATGAACCTTCTGAAGCACGAAATGAATTTAATTGGTTCTGAAATCAATTTCCTCAAAATACATAAAATATCATTTAACTATTAAGGTGCAGTAATAGTTTTAGATTACATTTATACCTCAACAACACAAATAACTAGATATATATAGAATTGTATTAATATTAACTGTAGATATTGTAGATATTGTATTTGTATAGTCATAGCTTTGAAGATGTGTTTTGATTAAAGTGTGAGATAAGCAATGAAACTACAGGTTACGTTATGAGAGTTCATATAGCAAGGTTCGAGTGTGAAAAAGTTCAATTAATTCTACGCAATAGTCTTTGGTTGGTGCCCCTTAAAATAAGGAGAGCAATAACTATAATTTATGTCAATTTTTTTTTTAACAAGAACATTGAAAAAATTTAATAAACACTTCAAGTGGCTGTAATATAAATAAATGTATTTCTTTACAATAAACAGCATTAGAATGGTTCGAAAAAAAGTATCTGTACTCTTATAAAGTCAGCAGTAAGTACGGATGTGACGAAAATAATTTCCGTTTAACAAAAATGACAGTTTTAATAAGACAAAAGGGAGTCTTTTTTGTTTTTATTTTTATCCTTAAAATCAATCAAGTAAAACCGTAGGAATGATCCAAATATAATGTATATTTGGATTTTATAACGATTTTGGCAGGAAAATATCAGGTTTCAAATAACTACATAATAAAGGCAGCGAGGCGAGGCGATCCAACCGCCCCTGTAAAGGATTTCTGTACGCTATAATAATTAGATTTATTTGCGCAATTATATAAGGTTGGGAGCTTAATAAATAAAGCGAAAATAAAAAAAAAATATTCGCTGTCGCTGTGAAAAATGTGTGATAGACTTATATAGATGGAGTAGAGATATCATCATCATTACATAGCAAAGTCGCTGTCTGTCCCTATGTATGCTTAAATCTTTAAAACTACGCAAGCGGTTCATAGATAGAGTGATTATAGAGGAAGGTTTATATATATAATATATGTACACCGGGCGAAGCCGGGGTGAGTAGCTAGTTTATTAATATAGTAAATCTAATAATATAATACCTTTTAATTAATGATCACGAAAAAATGATCGCAACGCGGACTCTCAATGGCTGCCCCTGTTTTGCTTCAACAGCCAGATCACAAACATTTTGCTTTGTTTAAAAAGAATCAAACAATAAAACCCAATTACGCCAAATTCTTGAATTCTATTATGTATCGCCGTGGGTAATAAGTACTGAGAAATCATTTCAAAGTAAAAATGACAAGAGTCTTAATATTGAGTATCCGTTATATTTCCGTTTTGTGTACGTAGAATAATATAATAAAATGGGGTAAAAGCTGATTCAGTACATTGAATATTGTATGATAGATGTTCTTTCACCAATATTTTATATTTATAAGAATTTTATATCTTTAAGTTAAACAATGGAGTTAAGGTAAAAGTAATAACTCTTATAAAAGCGGCACCAACTCTTTCGATAAAACAGCGTATTATTTTGTCTATATGCCACAAAAAATACTTAAACATGTAATGAACGTAAACGAGCAACATGCCAGTTTCTTGCTCATTCTTCTTGTTATAAGTCTGCGTACCGAATGACTGGTAGAATAAAAAAAATAGAGGGAAGAGCATTGTTAGTAATGTGGACTAATAACCCCATTGATAGCAACCAATCAGGTTGACCTCCACGCGGTTCACCCTGGAAACTATTGTTATAAATTCATGGTGAATTTACCAAACTGCTAATTGACCTGAGCTCTTGCGCATCTTATCTTCTTAGTCTTACTATAATTTTAAACTTATTATAATCCACTATTGCCCCGCCAGCGTAAACCATTACCGCATGCGGGTGCACTAATCAATTATCATCCATAAGAAAAGAAAATAAATAAAATATGACTTTCAAAAGTTCTTATTATTATATCTTATTATTATACTTCCTGTGTTCTTTGTGTGTTTGGGTTTGGGTTGACTGGAAGAGCTCTCTTTCAGAGATAAGTCCTCCTTTGCAAACATAATTTGTTCAGGTATTTAAAAGTGCAATAAAGTATATATATAAATTATATTCTAAACCGAGTGCAGTGTGTGTGCAGGTGACATTCCTGATGATGCCGCTGGAGATTGCGTGGGCGGCAACGGTGCAGTGGCTGGCTGGAGATCTACTCTGCCGCACCATGATGTTTACAAGGACATTCGGCCTCTACCTCTCGAGTTTTGTACTCATATGTATAGCTATTGATAGGTAAGTACATGAAATCAAATAAAAATTCATTTATTCATTACATCACATGTAGGATACATCACATTATATCCGCTTATGAACGCAATTTTTTTTTATATTAATATTTATTTTCCCTACCTGTCAGTTCACCTGTATACAGGTTCAGTTGAGAAGAACTGGCAACAAACTCAACTGATTTTTTTTTTAAAAGCCATTTTATTTACATTGTATATTTATGTAGGTGTCTATGTCTAACATTAAATGAAAATCCCGTGTATGAACAACTATTGCCACACACATTTGTCATTTAAGTAATTGTTTAGTGATGGCTTTGCATTGCACCATCTTTATATGTTTATTTTTTTTTTTAATAAGTGAATGCCCTCGTCAATTACAAAAAAAAAATATTATAATTTATTTACCATGGTAACATTGTTTATGGACTCCCGCTAAAAGACTAAGTAAGCTGCTAGGTTTGAATGCTCATAATAATTGTTGCCATCTTCGTCCTCGCCAAACAAAGAAAAATAACTTTTTTTTGCCACTACAGATGGTTGAATAGATTCATTTGAAACTTTATTTTTAAAAGATCTCTAAATTCTTAAAAAGCTCCTTTGATTAGTAGTTGAGAGAGTATTATTAAAAATAATAAATATTTTTTTATGAAAACTTAAATGTTGCGGGCAAATGATACTATGTTGTTGGTAGAGACGATGTATATTACAGATGATAATTGACTGACAATATGTATATTAAAATATTGATTAATAAACTAAATGACAATAGGAAAATGTAAGTTGGGTGACACAGGTTAGACGCGGCAGTGTTTAGTAGACAATATTGGATTTGTCTTACTAGCCATTATTAAATGCAATTATTGTTTTGATATATCTAGGTAACTGTGTCCCATATTAAATAAATCATTCCAAATTGGAATTTCAACCATTTCCAAATTCCAGAAATGGTTTATCTTATTGATTGGCATTATCTTATCTTTTCACTCTCAATGAAAATAATATCATAGTTAATTGATTCAATGGATTTTTTGTTATAAAAATATTATTATAGTAAACATCTTCACCAATGCTTAATTAACTCGACAAATAAGAAGAGGGGACAAAAGACTTGTCGCCTGTCACGTAGAATCCTATTCTATTCCGCCAAAGGACAACGTGTCAAGTGTGATTTAGTAGACAGAATTCATTTAACTGTCGAATTTACTTTTATAGATAAAAATAAAAAAATACTTGTACTTATTTATTTTTTATTTAAATAACTTTAATGCACGTACTTAGAAGTAAAAAGTACATATGGCGGACTTAATAATGCCGTTTTCTACCATTTGTACCATTCTGTTAGGTTGTGCAGAGATAAGTTGTTGGCGGTGCAAATGATATTGTAGTATATTTAATATATCTACAAATATACATTTAAATACAAAACCATACTATATATAAATACATACTTTATAATCTTACATCTTATCATCTTTTCTTTCCTTTCCTTTCTTTTCTGAGGCTGTAGGTAATCTTCTATATTGTATAAAATACGTGCAGGTTTTATTTATAATAACCCTGGATAATTAAGAGCGGTTGTTTTGTATGATGTGCTTTTCGAATTTATATTCTGCCTCAGTATACGTATATAGTGCCATCACTGGTTGTTTCGTTCCTAAAACTAGCTATATTAATAAGAATATAATATATACAATACAATGTATATTATACTTTCAGTTTATATATGACTACACTTATAGACCCAATAAACCACTGTATCCAACGTTAGCACTTTTCTTGCCCAATACATAAGTACGCTCTTAGTGAGCGTTTTCAATCTTTCACATAGATATGTAGATATTTCTTTTTATAATAGGTGTGTACACAAAATGTGTAAAATTTCCTTTTTTATTATAACTTCTACGTGACGTTTTAAATTTACGTGAAATTGTTTCGGTTGTTAAAACTGTTTCATCAATAAATCACTAGATGGCGCTATGTAAAGTTAGAACTCGGTTATGTTTCGTTTTGCCTGGAGGGTAAATGCTCACGGATACTACTACTTCTTTGTACCCTGTAATTTTTATTGCCTATTACAAATTTTTTTTGCTCCTCTCTACGTATATGTAGTCGAGTGAGTATATTACTATATATATGTATGTGAGTTATGGTTGGCTGGATTATGGTGATTATAACACACTAGGTGGAATTTCAGGCGAGAATGAGAAGAGGATATGTGTATCGAACGCTGTTTTTCATTTTAAATAATTCAATCATAAAACTGTGATACAAACTGTTCTTTTCCCGCCATTTTACTTTTTTAAATCAGCGCGCTGTCTACTGGCTGGTTGTAGGGCGGTTAGTTCGTAATTTAATTAAAGTAGTGCGGTTATGACTTGACTATTTGCATTTATAACTCACGCGTTTTTTAGAAGTTGCTTCATATATCGAAAACGGGAGATAGTGAAATAAAGATTTCATTATTATATGTATTAGTAGTACGTCTATAAATATATCGTAGTATATCTATTTTTCTGTTACCGTTTTTAACAAATAATAAGTTTAAATATCTGTTACATAATACTTATTGTCCCTGGACTCTACAGTATAAACGTTGTTTCCTATAAAGAAAACAGACTTAGTTTGTGCAAAAAAGTATTATTTTGAAACAAACCCAATAAATCTGTTTTATTGAAATAAATGTATATATGTATATATATACATCTACATCTGCCTTTTTTGTTTCTATGGGAAACAATAAATAATTGTTAAGAGGCCTTTCACATTTTTTGGCCTAAAAGCAGTGTCTTTGGGGTTCTGGTTCTAAGAAATTAAGAGTCGGATATACATTTTGATTCCTGAATTATATAGATAGATATCTAATCTTAAAAACAACATCTTTGAAATGTTAATTTTCTCTTTGTTAGTCTTCCTAATTTCTAAAATAGTTTATTCAAAAACGCTAAGAGAATAACTTTTTTCGTTCATTAATAAACAAACATAAATTGATATGATATTTGTATATTTGATAATTACTTTATAAATTGAACAGATCTCCTTTTTTTCATTTTCAACTTAAATATCTAAAAAATGATTAATGAAACCCGAAATTTCAACAAAACTTTGCCCTAATCATTTCTAATTTTCTCATTAATACAACGGAAGTTTTGTAAAAAAAAATAATAATAAAGTTAATATACTTGTAAATTAGAAATATAAAAAAAATATATAAGTTTCAAGAAAAAATAACTGAATAATAATTTAATGTAAAAATATTGATCGTATATACTAAATGACAATCAGGAAAATGCGCTAAGTTGGGTGACAGAATTTTTTACAACATGGCTAAGATAAGACATTCGTCAGTGAACATTATTGGATTTGTCTTACTAATATTAATTAATTTTGCAATATATACTATTTTGATATATCTAAACTGTTGTTAAATATATATATACATATATATATATAATAATAATATTTATTTTAGCATTTCAAACAAAATGGTTTATCTTATTGATTAAATTACCTACCTTTTGGCTCTCAATGAAAATAATATAACACTAGTTAATTGATTAAAAAAGGATTTTTTTTTTTAAAAATATTATTAGAGAAAAATCTTCACCAATTTTACTTATGTTTATTTTGTCAAATAAAAATAGGGTTATTGTTCTTAAAAGACTTATTATTTTTCACGTACATTTTCTTTCCGTTATATATGTATATCATCTAGTATCAAGTGTGATTTAAATAAATTACAAATTATATATAAATATATTCTGTTTAGAGATTTTTACTTTTATTTTACACAATAGATAAAAGTATTCTGTTATTAATAACTTACATTTTATTATAAATAACTTTAAAAGCACAACTTATAAATGTTTTTATTTAGAGACTAGCTTTTATGGCGGAATTATATATATTATCGCGCGTTTAAAGATCTACATTTGTATCATTATATATAAACCTTTCTTGAGTCTATCTATTTGTTGATTAAATAACAAAATCAAATTCTAGTATATTTTTTATCAAACACACAAATATCTATTACAAATATATTTTTAAATACAAAACCATAAAATATAAATACATACTTTATAATCATCTTTTCTTTCCTTTCCTATTAAGCTTTTCTGAGGCTGTTATAATCTTCTATATTGTATAAAATACTTGCAGGTTCTATTTATAATAATATATCAATTGAGGACGCCATTGTTTTGTATGATGTTCGCTTTTAATTTATATTCTGCCTCAGTATGCTTTAGTCCCATCACTGGTTGTTTCGTTCATAAAATTAGCATATTTAGAATAATAAGAATATAATATATACAATATATACTATACTTTCAATCACTATCTGTGCTTCCATAAAAATGAGCTCTCAAATTGTATCCAGTTTTAAACTTTTCTTGCCCAATACATAAGTAGACGATGTTAGTTTATAAGAGAGTTTCAAAATCTCCACATATAAAAGTAATCCCGAATGATTTCATTTTATAATAGGTTCTGTACACAAAATCTCTATAGCTCATGGTTTTTATTATATATAATCAATGAGACGTTTTAATAATTTATAAAATTGTTTGACATTAACAAAATTATTTCATCAATAAAATCACTAAGAACGGCGCTGTATCAGCCAATATCAACGTCAATGATGCAGGAACAGCAATGATAGCAGTTGATGTTTTTTTGCCTGGAATGGGTAAATGCTCACGGCTCTACTATGGAAAGGGGTCTTTATACCCTGTAATTTTTATTGCCTATTACAAATTTTTTTTGCCCTCTCTACGTATTAAGTTATGTATTCGTAGTGAGTATATTACGATATATATACACATGTGAGTTATATAGCTAGATATACATATACACAGACTAGTATACCCTGAGGGTCATAGAACTTTCAGACGAAAAAAGATTGTAAGGGATATATGTATCGAACGCCGTTTTCTGTCATTTTTAATTCAATCAAAAAACTTTTTTTAGGTTATAATCTAAATATATTTCCTTTATTTTCAATTT